CTTCGTCACCAACATAGCCTGAAAAACAGTATTAGTAATGAGCACAAGAAAATAATTAGGGTGGACGAACAGGACCTTGTTCCACAAAATATTTTAGAAGCTAATAATTATTACTTGAACTATTGCAGTGTAACACCAATACAGGGTAAAGAGGATTTGTCGAAAAGAATCGAGCTTCTAAACAAAGTTTAATTAAGAAGAGAGATGGATTAACTCTCCACTCCACTATTGATGGGATAGTTTTAATGGAAGACGCTCCATGTGTGTTTTGTTGGTCCTCGGTAATCTAGAAGGTTGGGTTGCAGAGACTCAAAGCTTCACTGCAGATTGAATGAAAAACAGAGGAAGTGGGGAAGAAACTTTTTCTTTTTATTAAAGATGGAGAGATCAGCTGGGATACTTTCAATCACAACAGCCCCCTCTATTTATACAAGAAAACCTACCAGCTAACAAACTCCACAAGAAGCTCTCAACCCAAGACTTTTTCACTGCTACAAATTCTCCACATGAAACGTTCTACTCTCTGTTGAAGCTAACAACCCCACTAGACTAGGTCCTCTCTCTAACAAACTAACAAACTCACACCAATCAAACTACTCACACAGACACACTCACACGTGCAACAAGTTTAACTCAACAGGTAAAAGAGCCCAGCTCATCTTAAATATACTTAATTAGAAGCCTCGAGATTATTGGATTATACATCGAAACATGATATTTCTAACAATCCATTTTGTCTTTGGAAAGGACTTTCATGGTTTTACCATGATTCCTTTATATTATTTTCTCATAATTCTCGTGGTTTGGTCAAGTCCTCATTTCCTTGTTGACATAATTCATATCCTTTGACATTGGCTTATTTATTTTCACACAACTTGTGCCCAGCTTCTGACTCCTTCCTTCTTTCAAAGACGCAGCCATGATTGATGGTACCTCGCACATACCGCAATATCTGTTTCACTGCTGCCATGTGAGCTGTAGTTGGTGCTTCCATGTATCTACTCACCACCCCAACAGAGTATGCAAGATCTGGCCTAGTGTTTACCAAGTACCGTAGAATCTCGACGACACTTCTATACATGAAAGTGTCAACTGGAGGGCTCGCATCCGTCTTGCTCAGCTTCATTCTCGGCTCCATGGGGACTTGGTAATTGTTGCAATTTTCCAACTTCAGCTTCTCTAGAATCTTCATAGCATATCCCGACTGACTTATAGTTATTGCATTCGGATCTTGCCTGACCTCAATTCCAAGATAGTAACTCAAGAGCCCGAGATCACTCGTCTCAAACAATCTCTTCATTTGCTCCTTAAAAAATACAATGTCCTTGACATTTGATCCGGTGATGATGAGAACATCTACGTAAACCCCCACAATTTGAACTGTATTACCATGCTGCTTCTTGTACACTGCATGCTCGAGAGGACACCTTTCAAAACCGAGTGACTGAAGACATTTGTCGAGCTTCGAATTCCAAGCGCGGGGAGCCTGTCGCAGCCCGTACATTGCTTTCTTCAACTTTAGTACTTTTTTCTTCTTGGCCTTCTTCAACAAACCCCTTTGGTTGTGCCACGTAGACCCCCTCCTCTAGCTCGCCGTTTAGGAAGGCAGACTTGACGTCCATGTGATGTACCTCCCAGTCTTCTTGTGCTGCTAAAGCGATCAACATCCTCACGGTCTCGAGCCTTGCAACTAGAGTGAATACTTCGTTGAAGTCCACACCCTGCTTTTGCACATACCCCTTTGCCACGAGTCGAGCTTTGTACTTGACCACATCACCTGCCAGATTCTTCTTGACTTTATACACCCATTTCAGACTGATTGTCCGGTGACCTTTTGGAAGATCAGCGAGTTCCCAGGTGTGATTCCTTTGTATGGCTGCAATCTCCTCTTCCATAGCTTTCTTCCAGCAGTCACTATCCTCAGCTTCTTCAAAAGTTGCTGGCTCCTCGACGGAGAGGAAACACAGTGCTGCCTCTCCTTCCACCTCACGAGTCTCATCATATATTTCCTGCAAGCTACGGTATCTCAAAGGTTTTTCAAAACTTGTTGAGGAATCAAGTGTACCTTCGTGTGCAACAGCTCTTTGTGTACATGGTGGCGCAGCTGTCTCGTTGTCGCTTCCTGGAGTTCCACCAATGCCCGAGCTATCCGAGGAGGCTGGGGTTCTCGGCTCTTGCTCAGCTTCTGCTTGCACTGGCTTATAATGCATTGTAAACACCTCATTTGAGTTGTACATCTTGTGACTTTGTGTGGTAGAAGACTCCCAGTTCCATTCTCTATCTTCATCAAAAATTATGTCCCTACTCACGTGCAGCTTCTTCTGGTCCGGATCATACACCCGGTACACCTTTGATCCAGGTTCGTAGCCGAAGAAGACCATCGATACACATCTATCGGACAACTTCGTCAAGTGTGGGCTCACTGTTTTGACATGTGCCACGCAACCAAACACTAGCAAATGTTGGACATTCGGCTTTCTTCCCGTCCATGCTTGATATGGTGTCATTCCCTCCAGACTTTGAGTCGGCGCTCGATTAAGCAAATATACAGCAGTCCTCACAGCTTCCCCCAGTAGACCGCCGGTACATGCTTGCTCTTCAATAGACTTCTTGCCATGCCCAACACCGTTTGGTTTCTCCTTTCGACCACGACGTTTTGTTGAGGAGAGTATGGCGCAGCCAGATATCACTTGATTCCCAGCTCCTCGCAGTAAGATGTGAATTCATTTGAAGTAAATTCACCTCCCCGATCAGTTCGAAATGCCTTCAGTTTGTTCTCAGCTTCTGCCTCAACACTTGCCTTGAACTTCTTGAATGCATCAAATGCCTCACTCTTGTTTTTCAGCATTACTACCCACATATATCTACTATGATCATCCACTAGTAGCATAAAATATTTGTTACCTGCCGGCGTAGCCGGTGTGATCGGGCCACAGAGGTCACCATGCACGAGTCCAAGCGGCTTGTCGGCTCAAAAACTTGTGCTGTGAGGGAAGGGAGCTCTGTGGTGTTTGCCAATGATGCAACCATCACAGATCTGTGTCACGTGCTCTACGGTAGGCATGCCGATCACCATCTCCTTCAGGGCCAACTTCCTCAGGGCTGGAAAGTTCAAGTGCCCATACCGAGCATGCCAGCGCCACGCATCATCTCCTAGGCTACCCATCAAGCACATTGGATGAGCCACCTTGAGGTTGACTACGTACAACCTATTCTTAGACTTCCTCACGTTGGCCAAGAGCTTGCTGCTCCTGTCATAGATGCGCAGATGGCCTCCCTCCATTACTATTTTGCACCCAATTTCGTCTAGCTGCCCAAGGCTCATGATATTGCTGCATAGTTTTGGTATATAATACACATTTATTAGAATTCTATGCTCACCATTCTGGCATTGAAGCATGATAGTTCCTCTCCCTTGTATCTCCATGACCGAGCCATCGCCGAATTTGACTCTGCCGCACACCTTCTCATCGAGGTCTGAGAATTTCTTCCTACAACCAGTCATATGGTTGCTAGTACCAGTATCCAGGTACCAAATGTCGGTCTCGTAGATCACTACTTCGCTGCTCAGCTTTGGCTTCATATTTTCTTCGTGAAACATCATATTTTCTCCCTCTCCTTGAGTCGTGTACAGGGACTCGCACTCCTCAGTCAGAAGTAATGCAGGTTCATCGTCGTGTTGCTTGTCAGCAAAGTGGGCTCTCTCCTCCTTCTTTGGCTTCCGGCATTCAGAAGCGTAGTGACCATGATTCTGATAGTTATAGCAGCGGACCTTTGCCTTGTCGAACTTGTGATATTTCTTACCAGAGTCGTTGGAGCGCTCCTCATCGCTGCGCCCACGTCCCCGGCCACGGCCGTGGCCACGACCCCACGACTACCTCCTCCATCTCGCTCTTTCCAGCCACTACTGAAGCCCTCGCCTCCTTTCTTCTTTGCCTTGGCCTCCCATTCAGCCCTCATCAACAGCGAGTGCTCACCCTCCTTGTCGTCAAAACCTCGCAGCCGTTCCTCATGTGCTTGAGCCGGCCAAACACCTCCTCGGTCGTCATCTCCCTCAAGTCACCGAACTGCTCCAATGTGGAAGCAATTTGTAGGAACTTTGGTGTCACCGCTCGTAACACCTTCTCTACCACAGCAATGCCATCCATCTTCTCCCCCATGGCGCGCATCTTGCTGACCACCGTGGTCAGCCACATAGCGAACTCATCGACGGACTCCCCTTCTCGCATACGGAGAGCCTCGAACTCTGTCTTGAGGGTCTGCAGTTTCGCCCTCGTCACACGATCGGCCCCCACGTACATGGACTTCAACGTAGCCCACGCATCTTTGGCCGTCGTCTTCTCGGCAAGGAGAAGGAGGATCTCCTCGTTTACCCCCTGGTAGATGGCCGCGAGTGCCATCTTATCGCGTCGGTTGTCGACTCTACCCTCGGCCTCGACGGCATCCCACACGCCCTGAGCCTGCATGTAGACCTTCATTTTTATGGACCACGCTGGGTAGTTGCTGCTTGTTAGCAGCGGGTATTTGAGTGTAGTACTCTCCTCTCTTCCCTCATTTGATGTTGCTTCTCCACCAGTAACACGACTCGACGATGACGGAGACTCCGATCTTGCCATGATCTTAGGCATTCATACACCGCAACGCTCTGATACCAAATGTAGAAGGTTGGGTTGCAGAGACTCAAAGCTTCACTGCAGATTGAATGAAAAACAGAGGAAGTGGGGAAGAAACTTTTTCTTTTTGTTAAAGATGGAGAGATCAGCTAGGATACTTTCAATCACAGCAGACCCCCTCTATTTATACAAGAAAACCTACCAGCTAACAAACTCCACAAGAAGCTCTCAACCCAAGACTTTTTCACTGCTACAAATTCTCCACATGAAACGTTCTACTCTCTGTTGAAGCTAACAACCCCACTAGACTAGGTCCTCTCTCTAACAAACTAACAAACTCACACCAATCAAACTACTCACAC